ACTTCAGATGTCTTATATAAGTAGAAACATACAGGTAATTAATTTTTTTTTATAATTGGCACATATGACTTGTCAAAAGCACATATCAGAATTGCATTCCTTTTTAAAGGATGGATAGTATTCCATTGTACGAATATTTTAAAATCCATTCATCCATTAATGGACACTGGGATTCTGCCATCTTATAGTTTCTGTGAGTAGTTCTATGACTATGGGCCACTTTCAATTCTTTCGGAAATACTGTTGACCCTCTATATCTGTGGGTTCTACATCCATGGGATCAACAAATTGAAGATGGAAAGTATTTGGAGAAAATTCTAGAAAGTTTCAGAAAGCAAAATTTGAATTTGCTGCATGCCAACCACTTTGCTAAATCCACACTAATGACATGCTGTGCAGGCGTACGCTGCTGTAGGCTCTCAACGTTGCGCAGATTCTCACTTTCCCTCCAGCACTCTTTCTTGAGCATGACTCGCCTTGAGTCTGGTTTGCATTCTATGTAGTTAGGCCTATGATGGTTGTATCTGTATGCCCTTTTTTACTTATCATTATTCCTTAAATAACACAGTTTAACAACTATTTTCACAGTATTTACATTGTCTTAGGTATTATACATAGTCTACAGATGATTTGAAGTATACAGGATGATGTTCTTAGGCTCTATGTAAACATTACACCATTTTATATACAGCTCTTGACAATCCATGAATTTTGCTATCTGCAGGGGTCCTGGAATCAATCTTCCATGGATATTGAGGAATGATAATACACACAGAAGTGGGAATGCTGAATCACAAGATATTTCTACATTTATTTATTTATGTACTTATTTATTTACTTATTTTGGCAGTACTAGGGTTTGAACTCAGGTCTTTGCACTTGCTAGGCAGGTGTGCTACCATTTAAACTACAACCAAGCCTTTCACTTTTAATTTTTTAAGGAAACTTCATAGTATTTTACATAGCTGCTGCACCATTTTACAATCCCACCAATAGTGTGCAAGGGTCCTGATTCCTGTTTATCTTCACCAACATTTATTATTTTCTGTTTTTTTAAACACTGGTTATCCTGACAGACATGATGTGGTATCTTGTTGTGGGTATGATTGGCCTCTTTTCCACAAGCTTGGTTGTACATGTTCTTTGAAGAATGTCTGATCAAGTCCTCTGCTCACTTATTAAATCAGGCTATTTGATACTTTTTGTTGAGTTGTAGGATTCTTTACACATTATGAATTTTAACTCCGTATCAGTTATAGGATTTAAAAATGTTTCCTCCCTTTCTACTGATTGCCTTTTAGACATCTCTTGATATCTTAAAGTTTTTATATTTGATGTAGCCCTATTTTTCTATTTTTGCTTTTGTTACATGCTTTTGATGTCATATCCTAGAAGTCATTGTCAGGTCCAACATTATGAATTTTTTATGTTTCCTCCTAGGAGCTTTATAGTTTTATGTCTGCATATGAATATCTGGCTTTCCTAACACTGTTTGCTGAAGATTCTGTCCCAGTTTAGTGGTTTTGGTTTTGTTAAAGATCATTTGACCACAAACAAAAGGGTAAATTTCTGGATTTTATATTGTATTCCAAGCGTTTGCCTATCTTTATTCTAGTACTACATTGTTTTCATTATTGTTTGAAGTCAGGAAGTGTGAATCCTTCAGCTTTGTTTTTTTTTTTTAAATAAATTTTTATTAGGATATGTTCATTATACAGGGGGGATTCGTAGTGACAATTTGGATTAGACTTATATTGTACATTATTTATTGTTTCCATTGTCTCCCCCTCAATCCCCTCCCCACCTCACTTAAAGAAATTGCTTAGTATTGGTACAAAAACAGACAGGAAGATCAATGGATCAGAATAGAAGATTTAGACATAAACCCACCCATCTATAGCCAACTGATCTTCGACAAAAGAGCCTAAAACACACGATGGAGAAAAGACAGCCTCTTCAACAAATGCTGCTGGGAAAACTGGATATCCACATGCAGAAGACTGAAACTAGATCCCTGTCTTTCACTCTGTACCAAAATCAACTCAAAGCGGATCAAAGACCTTGATATAAGGCCTGAAACTTTGAAACAACTCCACAAAGCAGTAGGAAATACACTGGAACAGATAGGTATAAGGAACGACTTCCTAAACAGAATTTAAAAGGCTTAACATCTAAGACAAACAATGAACAAATGGCACTGCATTAAGCTAAAGAGCTTCTGCACAGCAAAGGAAACAGTCACCAGACTCAAGAGACAGCCCACAGAATGGGAGAAAATCTTTGCCAGCTACTCATCCGATAAGGGGCTAATATCCAGGATCTACAAGGAACTCAAAAAATTCAGCCCCCAAACAATGAACACCCCAATGAAGAAATGGGCACATGAATTTAACAGGGAATTTGCAAAAGAAGAGGTACAAATGGCCAGTAAATACATGAAGTGTGCAAGTTCCCTGGTAATAATAGAAATGCAAATCAAAACTTTGTTCTTTTTCTAATGAAGTAAAAAATTTGCTACTAGGGGTCCCTTGGAATTCTACATACATTTTTGGATTAATATTAAGTGATACTTTACTGTACATTTTGCTCTGATTTTTCCATTAAAATGTGCATTGAGGTAACTTCCCATATCAATATAATTACCCATGTTAAGAGAAATATACTCTTTGGAATACATTATACTATATGTGTGTAATAGAATTAGTAGGTTACATACTTAAATTCAATTACATTTTTGTTATTCTACTTATTACTTTGTGAGTATACTTATTATCTTTGAGGAGTTAGTCTGTAAGATAAATTACTAAACATAGAAATATTGGCTCAAAGATAAATACTAGGGTATAAGTTCCACAAGGGTTTATTGTTGCATCCATAGTGACTAGAACAGTAACTTATATGAGGTGCTTAATAAATATTCATGTAGTGATAAAAAGGAAACATATGCATACAAATTTTTAAGCTATAATTCTTAAACTGAGTCTCAAGACAATGAAAGACATTTTTCCAGCAGACTATATATAATAGATACTGCTGACAGAGCATCTTTCTCCCTGGCCATCTTCAAACTAATTGTGACTGTTTAACATAGTCTGGCCAATGAGATGCAAGTGGAAAACTGCCACATAGGGATTATGGGAATGAGGCCTTATGCTTTTTTAAATAAAATGAGAGAATTTTAGTGGCATACCATTGAATGTCCTTTCTTGTTCTTTCTACAAGGAAAGTAGATGTACTGTTTGAAATGTCAGTGACTCTGTCTTGAGAAGGCAAAGCAGTGAGTATGAGGAGGAAGGTCAGCTTGCTGAATAATTCAAATGATAGGAGTCTGGGTACTTACTGGCATTGGGGGGCTATTGCATCAACCTTGGAATAGCAAACTATGGACTTCTCTATTTGTTTAAGAACTGTTGGTTGCTTTTCTGTTATTTATTGCCAGAGGAATTTCTAGTTGACTCACAGACAACTGCAAAATATATTCTGGATAGATAAGTCAGTGTGACCAAAGACATGAGATTGTGACATAACATGGGGTGTTAGGCAATCTGCAAATAAAGGAAGGAGTTCAGTTTGGTTAGGACTTCGGGATAAAACTAGAGAGAGGGAGTTGGAGTCTTGTGTGCCATAAGAAGGCATTTGTATTTAATTCTGGAGGCAATTGTCAGGCAATGAATTGAATTACCCACGGGTGAAGCAAGATCACTCTGCAGGAATGCAGCGTAGGCATTGGAGATGGGCAATGGAGGAGGCTGGGACACAGTTCAGGGAGCTATTTCAGTGTTGAGATGAGAAAAAGTGAGGGTCCCAAACTCCAGTGACAACAGTAGGGAGAGGGAGAAATGTGGGCTTGAAGAATATTTGACATGACTTAATTAATACTTTAATATAAATAGGTATATCAGAGAGAGAAGTTTTATTAGTGTATTTTATCACATCTAACACACTATCAATATAAAGGACATTAATATTTCGAATTAACATACATTAATAATATGAGGCGATTTCATTGTGGTAATTTCATACATGCATACAATCTACCTTGAACAAGTTGATCCCTCCATTATGCTCCCATTCCCATTCCTCCTTTCGCCTTTTCTCAAACAGTTTTTGGTGGGTTTCGGAACGCTGTCTTCATGTATACATGTGTAATGTACTTTGATCCCTCAATAACCTTTCTTTTTCCTCTCATCTCCCTCTGATCCCCCCTCCCAGGGAGTCCCCCATATATATTCATGTCCCATCATCATTGTCGTTGTCATTGTCATCATGATTTTAAGTCTAGTTTCCACAAATGAGCAAGAATATGCATTGTTTGACTTTGAACTTGGCTTAGTTCACTCAGCATTGTGATCTCTAGTTCCATCCATCTTTCTGCAAATGACAAAATTTCATTTTTTCTTGATGGCTGAGTAATATTCTGTGGTGTATACACAAACATATACCATATTTTCTTTACCTATTCATCAGTTGTTGGGCTTCTCAGCTGTTTCAACAGTTTAGCTATTGTTAAAGCCCTTCAGTAAATGAGAATATGCAAGTATCTCTCCTGTGTACTGATTTATATTCCTTCAGATAAATGCCTAAGAGTAGTATGGCAGGGAGGGATACCATTATTGAATGTAACATTTAAAGGAGAAAAATACAATATAAATAAATTATGATATACTGATACAAAACATGCTTTGATTTCATAGATGTAAAAAGATTTGCATCAAAGAGCTAGTGAACATTGGCAATAGCTAATATTTATAGTTAGTATGTGTCAGGCATTGCGATAAACATTTTGCCTTGATTATTTCACTTACTGCATTCAAAACTTTCTGAAAAAAATGGGATTTTTCTTTCCCAGTTGAGACAATAAGCAGAAGTTGACTCTGTTTCTCACTATAGTAAATGCATGGGTGTTGCTAATGACACAAAAAAAAATCCTGTATTTGAGGATTTTTGAACCGGCTATTGAAGCTACTCAGTAGGGAGCTGGGTTAAATGTCCTTCCACCTATGGTATGGGCTCAGATGCTGCCTGGGAAGAGGAAGTGGCTGGGACTGCAGCACTCCTCTGTGGCACTCACACCCAGAGCAGCAGAGGAGCCACACGGTGAGTTGGCATTGGGGACGTCAGTGTTCCTCTCTGCCTCTTTGGTGGTAGTACATGTCCAGGGGTGGGCCATGAGTGGAGTCATGGCTTTTTTCCTGATTCCTTTAGTCACAGTGCATGCTGGGTCCAAGATCCTCTCTGCACTGTCTGTGCCCACCTGGGGGCAGAGCTTGGGCTGGAGTTGAGGAGTGTCTCAAGGCTCTCAGAATGTCCTTGTGGGTGGGGCAGCAGTAACAACTTTGGAATTCCCTATCTGTCCTGTCAGAAGCAAGCTGCAGAGTGTGGTACAGTGGAATGAGCTTTTTCTTGCTCCTGTTAGTACTGAACCTAACTGGGCCTAACTGGGGGAGGTGGGAGATGCAGAAAGGACAAACGATAAGCAAACATGCATAAAGCTGGGGCCAGGTGTGTTGGGTGCTTGGATGGAGACACACAGCAGCCTCATTGCTTTTTTACTTCTCTTTACTCTGCTTCTTTTCTTTATCTTTATTCTTTAAGGCCTTGCTTCTAAAGTCTTTCTTTAAAAACTTGCTTCTAAGGTCTTCTTTTCTGTTCTTTAAAGTCTCTTTCCTTAGACTTGCTCTGTCCCATGTTTTCTTTAGCTTTTCTTTAGCATAATCTCTCTTAAAGTCTTTGCTCTCAGACTTTCATGGTCTTACATTCCCTTTAATCTCTCTTAAAACCTTGGCCCTTAGACTTGCACTGTCCCATGTTCTCTTTAGCTTTTCTTTAGCTTAGTTTTTCTAAAGCCTATGTATAAATGTCTTGGTGCAAAAAGCTTCTCTGGTGGAGACATACCAGCCAGCGTCAGCGTCAGCCAATCAAAATCCCCAATCAAAAAGCCTCAAGTCCTCTTCAGTGAGTCTTTTATACACTGTAGTAAACAAGGAGGTTTAGAAACAATTCTTGGGGAGGGGTGTGACATTGTAACAAGAGAAACCTGTGTTCCTGCTTCTCTGAAGGGAAACAACTTAGGAAAAGCAGCTGTGCTGCATCTGCAGCTGGAGAGGTGCCAAACTCAGCTTGTAGCTTATTGGGCACAGCTGTGGTTATGTCAAGTTCTCATCTGCTTCTCAGAATCGCTCCCCACGGTGCAGTGGGAAACTGCCTGCCTTCTGTTCTGGCACTTGCATGAGTCCACCTGTGGCTGGCCGCGCTCTTGGTCTCAGAGGGCAAGCACTCTAATAATCTGGTTCTTGAGGTGGTTCACTTTATTTTTCCCCATGTGTCAACAGCTGTTCAGTGAAGCACAGGGCACCCAGCAGGCTTGAATCACAGCTACTATGCTGGGTTACCCAGAACTCAAAAATGTGATTTCTCCTTACTCCCCAGCAACTTTCCTGTTAGTAAATGACATTTCCTTTATCTGATTATTCATGCCAGCCAGTCTTTGGATTTACCTTAGAGTTCCCCTTTTCTACTATTTTCTACCTGAAGCTTAGCAACAAGTCAAAAATTTGTCTCAATTTGCATCCTTGTAATCTGAAACACCATAATCTCCTGTTAGATAGGAACAGCCTCCTAATTTACCCATTCTCTTTAGAAGACCCCCAAATAAATCCTTTAAAATGAAAATGTAATTATGTCATGCTCCTGGAAATCCTTCAAAGAACTCTCTATTATGCTTCGAAAAATCCAAAATCCTTATTAAAGTTTACAAAATTATGCAGGATTCTCTACTCCCAGCCATGGACGGACTTCCTCTTTTGCTACCCATCCCCCACCCTACTCACTGTACTAGGTTCACACTGGCTCCTTTCTATTCCATTGAATGCACTAATGTTGCTTTTGTCTCAGGGACTTTGAATTCATTGGTTTCTCTTTCTGGAGCACTTAGAATTATGTACATTTTTCTTCACTTTCTTCTTTCTTCATCTATTTCTCTGTTCCAGTGTTCTTTCACAAAAGCCTTCCTTGGTCACCCTATCCAAAATAGCAGCTGTTTGCCCATTGTTTTCCCTTGAATTTTTATTCTTCCTGGCCTATGACTATAAGTCATAGATCATGTATAAAATATGACATGTATAAAATCATGTTTTATATAAATATTTCTTTCTTTCTCTCTCTCACACACATGGACACATACACATATACACATAGTATGTACAACATGTATGCATACTGGTACCTAGAAAAGTACCAGATTGTTTCTATGGGGTGAATTCAGCTATGACATATTGTAAGAACTTTTGCAAATGTCACATTATATCTCCAGTACAACAATAATAAAAAGAAAAAAGCAAACCAATATATAAAAGAGTATTGTGAATTGTCAAATGTTGGTCTTTTTTTTTTGTCAGTACTAGGGGTTTGAAGTCAGGGCCTTGTGCTTGCTAGGCAGGCTCTCTACCACTTGATCTATGCCCCCAACCCTGGTCTTTACCTTTACTTTTTCAAATGTGATTCCAATGTCCACAGACTTGTTGTCTTTTCTAGCACTGTGTTATGTACAAAACTGATAAGCATTCCCTTTGTGTGTTGAGTTAATGATAGAACATGTAGAACTGAAAAGGCTAAGTATTAAATAGGAAATGAAAATTTCTAGTAGAGAACATTTTCCAAATTAAAATTTATTTATTAGTCAGCAACTAGCTACAATAATTCAACTGTGTATTAATTTATGAATTCACTAACAAATATGGGACTCACAGTTTTCTAATTTTTGCATAAAGATAAAATGAGTTCATAAGATTGTCAGTATCATGTTAGACAATTGCTACATCTTCATCCTGAGCTACTAGAAATTGAATCCTTTTTCTTCATCTATTCACCCACAGCATTTATTAAGTGCACAGACATTTATGAAGGCAAACAGCTCTTCCCCAAAATGAAGCAGGGTTCACTATTTTTTTTGTGAACTCATGTGGCTGTAAAATATTGGCACACAGCACAGATAGTTGTGGCCTGCACTCATGAATACACATGCCATTCAGGGTGGCAACTGATGGTATGACTTTTCACAGCAAATTAAACAATGATAGTCCCAATGATATTGAAAAATTTTCAGAGTACATAAAAACAGCAACATTCTTTTTCATGAACTGGGTATAGTGTTAATATATCAATGTTAGCAAAGGTAATCCAAATGAGAGGTAATCCCACCTATGAATGTTGAGAAATACTTTAAATAAAAAGTTGGTAAACAAAATACAGTTGCACATTAAAGAATTAATAAATTTTACAATGTGACAAAGTTGATTTTATTCCATAAATATTGAAAGACATCTGACAAATCAAATACCCACTCTTTATAATAATTATCAATGGATAGTTCTGACTGTATGTAGTATTATGTAAAATTATACATGTGTAAACATTATCTTCTCCAGAAAGCCAATACAATACTTGATAAGAAAACACCATTTATAATGAATCAGAAATAAGACAAAAATCTATCTCCACTAATCTTTAAGTTTGTACTAGAAGTTTTAGCTAACACATAAAAACAAATAAATACAGATATTAACTATAAATGACAGGTAAAATTGTCACTATTTGCACGAGATGATTTTATTTCTAGAAACCACAAGAAAATAAAATATTTTATAAACAATGAGAGCTTCATCTGGACAGAAAATTTATGTGGACTGTATTTTTCAATGCATCAAGATATTTACCTGACCATGAAGACTACAATTGCAAAAATCATTATACTCAGCAAGTACATTTCCAGGAATTCAATCTACACTTAGTCTCACACATTTACAAAATGCTGGCTGTCCTGGGTTATTCATTGCAGCATTGTTTGTAGCCCAAATTTATTCAGTAAGGAGCTAGCTAGCAAACTATAGGGTGTGCTTACAATGTAAAGCTACAAAATTGTGAAATAAAAAGATGATACTCTGTGTATTAATGTGGATATGTTGAAAATATGTTAAGTGCAGATAAAAACAGTGTTTCTATCACTTTTTGTGTTAAGGGGCAAATAAGAATAATCATGCTTGCTTGGGTATCAGCAAAGAAATTTTGGCAGGCTACATAAAACACTAAGTACACAGATTACATAAAAGGGAGGAAGTGGGAATTGGGCAAATGAAAGATGAAAATGAGAGGATGCTTTTTATTGTGCCTTTGTATATATTCTAGTTTTTAAGACATGTGCATACTACCATTAAAAATATAAATTAGCCAGGTGTGGTGGTTCATGCCTGTAATCCCAGCACTCAGGAGGCTGAGGCAGGAGGATTGTGAGTTTAGGGTCATCTCCAGCTAAATAGTAAGTCCCTGTCTTGGGAAAAAAAATTAAATAAAAATTCTGAAGGAAATGAGGCAAGTTACTTCTGAAAAGTTGGTTGAGTCCTGAAAATTCTCATTCATGATATCTGAAAAGTATATTTAACTGTAGAATTTATAAATCCATAATGAAAATAAAATTGTTCATGGTGACCCACACTACAATGCCACTTTAAGGAAACAATAAGCTTATTTTGAAATCATTTATGCACTTCCTATACATAAAGTGTGCTGTAATTCCTGATGATAGAAAACCCTTAGAAAACTTAGTGAAGGACAGATGAGTAAATAAATGACACCATTCTGTACCAAGTGTCCCGAAAGAGTTGAAGGTGGAATATTGGAGAAAAGGAGAGGAGGACAACAAATCTCACAGTGGAGAAAGTTCCTGGGGATAACACCTGTGGGTCTCAACTTGAAAAGAAAAGTGGGATTTATTCAGATGATGGAAGGGAAAGAAGAGAGAACATGCGGAAATATGATAAAGCCCCATCTCATTGAGGCATGGCACACCTGTCAAGAGCAGGTGTGAGGAGCAAGTGAGAAAGAAATGGGAACAAAGAAAGGGACCATGGCCAGAATGTATGGATCTCGGGGATAAGATGGGCACCTTCACTAAAGGTTCTAAAATAAGGAGGTCATGTGATGAATTTTCTGCTTTAGTTTTATTATCTACTAACACAGAAGGAGGATTAGCAGGAATCCAGAAAAGAGACAGGCATGGTCACTTATAAGTTATTAGCTCAGTATAAATAAAGAAACCCAAA